ATCGAAAAGGATTAATGTAATTGAGCTTGTGATTCATGATTTTTGTGGCATTATATACTTGTAATCCTTGTTATCACGATGTTAAGCTATTGTATTGCCTTAATTTCTCCTATTTTGTGCCTTAGTATGTGCCTACTAAGTTGTGGGAATGTTTTGCTTCGAACTGCACCAAAACTGGGTTAATCGTCGCACGTGTGGGAGCACTGCTGCACGTGCGGAAAACAGAGGATTTTGGGTCTTTGGCTACTGGAAAAAAGGCATGTGCGGGGCTTCATTGCCGCACGTGCGGGAACCACTGCCGCACGTGCGGGGCTCACAACCGCACGTGCGGCCCATGCTGCAAAATTTTGTCTGCTCCGTTTTATGTGTTTGACCCTCTGATGTTATTGAAATCTGTATTTGATGCCTTAAAATATTTGTAAATTCATTTGAAACGAAACGAATCAAAAGATGATTTAAAAAGGGAAAGGAATTAATGTGTGAGTTGTGCATGTGTGTAGGTCACGATCCAGGAGGAACTATCGCCCCACTACAGCACAGTGAGTACTAGTATTGCAGTTGTACATTTACCTACCGTTAATGATTATTATTATTAACGCTCTGTTCTTTGTGAGTTAATTACGTTAACATTTATAAATGATTGGAAAATCTGCGTACATTGGTACGACTCTGGAATTACTCTGCTTTGTTAACATCTGGGCCTAAGGCCAATTTGTAAAATCTGTTAGGCCAGAGGCCAATCTGTGAAATCTGCTAGGCCAGAGACCGATCTGTAATGTCCGTTAGGCCAAAGGCCGATCTGTAAAGTTTATTGGGCCTGAGGCCGATCTGTGTGTTACTAGGCTTGAAGCCACACTACAAAGGTTGGCTCAAGGCCGTTCTAAACATGTTTACAAATAAGTTTATACATATGTTCTCTGCACTTACGTGCATTACACTTCGAGTTTGTTCGGTAAATTGTTTATGTACTATTATTCACTGAACTTCGCTCACTCCGTGTTATGTCTGTTTCTGTAGGTACTTAGTCTGGAGGTCAGTCCTAGTCCAGCTTGGACCACTTATCTTTTGCCCATTACAACACGACCAAACACTTAAAACGAAGCTCATTTATTTTGTGGAGTCCTTGCAGAGCTTTTAGCTTCGTGCACTGAACCTTTTGTCTGATGTTGTAAAACATGATTAACTTCTTGTAACATGGTTTTGTTACATCCTCAGACTCGGGGATGGGTCTGTATATTTGTATATATATATACAACTACATGTGTGTTTATTATACGTTAAATTATCTGATATTAAGTGTATGATCCTGACATGTTAGTATTAGCTCAATGGATGTTATTTTGCGTTAATAAATGCTTCCGTTCAGGCCCCATAGGTTATACATATCAGATTTGATGTCCGTTTTTGAAGTGATCATGCCCAAACTTTTAGGGGCGGGTTTGGGGCGTGACATGATCTGCTCAAAATATAATGTTCAGAATGGGAAATGGTTTCCAACTTTGGAAGGTAGAGGATCTAAGATCTGGATTGATATTCTTAATGTAGTTTTGTTGAATCCAAACTTGCATAATTTCTATATTGATAACTCTCAGATAGCTTTAGGGGATGGGAGTAGAGCTCACTTTTGGTTGGACAAGTGGATTGGCAATGCATGTTTTAAGGAGGAATTCCCTAGACTCTTCTCTATATCTAATGATAATCATGGGGTGGTAAGGGTGTTTTTTAAGAATAGCGGTGCAGCTAATGATTGGAATCTAGAGTTTAGAAGAAATTTGTTGGCTTGAGAGGAAGAGGAAGTCCATAGATTAGTTTGTTTGCTTAGGTGTGCACCAACTCTTTGCATTGATAAACCAAATGAATTGAAGTGGGTTGCAGATTCATTTGGATTGTTTAGCGTAACATCAGCTTATAAATGGATTGAATCCCTTCTTGGTCATGTTCTGACAATGGCAGGCTCTATTTGGAATAATTTTGCTCCTCCTAAAGTGTAATTTTTTGGGTGGTTGGCATGGCTTGGTAAGGTGAAAACTTTCTGTTTCTTCATAGAATTGATATACATGATGGGAGTGTTAATCCGGAATGTGTTTTCTGTCATGAGGATATTGAAATTGTGGAGCATATTCTTCTTTTCTCTCCTTTTGTTTGGAGGCTGTGGTTAAATATTGTAAGATGGTGGGGTTTTCAGTGGGTCTTGTCGGGTTTTGTAGATGGGCTACTGCAGTTGTGGTATATGGTTATAGAATGTCAAAATTGAAGAAGAAAATCTGGATGGTCATCCCTTTGACAATTTTTTGGTCTACATGGGGCATAGAAATGAGTGTGTTTTCAATGGATCTCAACCAGACTTTGAAGCTCTATGCGACATTGTGAAAGTTAGGGTAACTTTGTGGGTCAAGGCTTTGCCATTACATGTGGTAGCTTCTGTGACTGATCTGGTTTACAATCTGCAACAAGTTAAGTTTTGCCTTAGGAATAGTGGTTGAGTGTGTTTTTGTATTGAGAGTTTATCTAGTTGAGTTTATTTGTTTTGCATCACAAATGGTGGCTGAGCTTGTGTAAGGTCTGGTTTCTAAGGTATGATCTAGTTTACATTAGAGATATAGTGGTTTTTGTCTGTTCTGTTTATGTGAGTGTTGTGGTTTCAGTCTGTTCTATCTGTTCTGTTTCTGTAAATATCTAAACTACAAATGGATTGAGGTATTGTTGCTTTTTTGCTTATTGAATGGTGGCACATTGGTCTTGCTTTTGCTGAAGCATGTTATTGCTGATCTGTTCTGTTCTGCATTGTTATTCTATTCTGTGATGCTCTATCTCTTTGTTGTTTGATCTGTTATCTATTTTTGTGAATATCTGGACTACAAAAGGGATTGAGGCATTGCCGATCTTGTGCTTCTGGAATGGTGACGCTTCTGCTGGTTGAGTACTGCATCAGGAATAATGGCTGAGTCTACTATTAGTTATGCTCTGCTACTGGTCATGTTTTGTGAGTTTGCTGATGCTTTTGGTTCAGGTTCTGTATGGAGTAGATATGCTAGCTAAAGGTGGTTGATCTGTTTTGTTGGACTGCTATGCTCAGTTGTGGACTGTTTTGTTGGACTGCCATGCTGTGCTATTGTTGTTAAGGAATTTTTTTTTCTGTTTCTTTAGTTGGTTGCTCACCAACTCAAGAGGTACTAGCAAATGATAGGATAGGCTTTTTGGTGCCAACATAGTTGAGATGATTTAGCTCATCATGATATTTTTGCACTTGTCTCTCTTTATTAATTTTTTTGTTTTGTACTTTGCTCTTATATCACTAAAGTTTCTTTTTTGTCGATAAAAAAAAAAAGAGTATGAAACTCACTATTGTATAATCAATCGCTAACCACTGCAATAAACAATTAATTCAATAACATATGTGACTCTACTCTGGTGAGTACATTTTTTTAATTTAGCAAAATAATAAATAGAATATTAAGCATGAATATTACTATAATAATGATAAGAAATAATATATATATATAGAGAGAGAGAGAGAGGGAAACAAGAACACAAAAAAATAACTGTGAGACTCGCGTTGTCACGGTTTTAAAACTGTTTTTTTTTCCCTTTCCTCGTAAATGTACAATCGGAGTGTTCCAAAATAAAATACAAATTGCTTACAGTGTCCCTTATTTATTGTTCACAACCACCGGCAAGCAACCAAGCCACGAATCAGAATCATCCAAAACACAATAAATACACACAAAATATAGGTAACTATCTGAACAAATCACCTTTTCTTCTCTCCTCTTCTCTAAGATCTATTCTAAAAAACTAGATGATAGGTTTATAGAAAAGTTATATAATCAATAGAACTACATGAATTTAATCCCCATAAATATTAAAATGATTTTCTATTAAATAGAAATTATATGTACAAGATTAATTTGTAATAAAACTAGTAATTGAATATATTAATTTTACCAAATATAATTTATTTTTGTTAAAATATCCCAACACATTTTATCAATTCTGATTTATCATTCCTCAAAATAAATATAATTGACCGGTTGTATGCATGGAATGATACCATGTATGGCATGTCAATTTTATGGGTTATAGGAGTGTTGTATACACACACATCACATTGCCAATACTCAAAGGCTTACAGTTCATCAGGCTGAGATCAGGCAAGTCAAAAACTTATAGGAACTAAATGAGAAAGAGATAGAACTCATAAAAGTTTATTACAAGTCATTATGAACATTTCAACAATTCAGCATATCCATCTTCGTGATGTTGAAGTTTTCCACAGGCATGGATGAATGGTACAGCTTGTCTGAATAATTCAGTTCATAATAATAATGGATGCAAACAAAGAGTTTCCTATCATGAATTTTTTGTTGCCCTGATTGACCTTTCAACACCATCAATTTATCCCACACGTACTCTACACCAGACAGTAACAATTGAGGTTGATAATCAACAATATTGGCCATTTAATGAGTTTTAAATTAGTAAACAAAGTCATTAACTCTATCTATTTGTCTAATTGTTCCACTTGCTTGGTCTTACCTACAAGTCTCTTGGAGTCTCACTCACCTACAAGTCTCACATTTAGTATCAAGGCGGACCATCTTTGCTGCCGAAAGTAGGATTTTACTAATGATGTGTTTGGTTGGGAGATTTGAGAAGATATTTGAAAAGAAAAATAAAAAAAAGTAGGCGAAATGTGAATAAAATATACCTATATTTTATCAAGTTTCACACATTTTTTCCCTTTCTCTTTTTAAATTCCTCTTCAAATTCCCTAACCAAATACAGCCTAAGAGGGACCACTGTTGGAACCTTGACTCAATCTTCTCTATCCTTAATTTGATGTATAGTCGATTCAACATGAAGGAGAAAAAGTACAAGTTTCAGGAATTTCAAAGCAGAAGCCATTTTGAGCGTCATTGTTGACTCATGGAAAATTATAAGAATGAAGAGGCTATAAATACCCATAATCAGCCAAAAGAACTACTCAAAAAGCTCTTACAACTTCATAGCTCTCTCCAAGGCTATCAAAACTTGAAACTTTTGTCCCTATCAAGACTTTCACCTCTCTCTCTTGAACACAAAACAAACATATGGAAAGCCCAAAGTCACCCCTTCAGCCCTCTACTTATGGAAACCTAATCACTGTTCTCAGTATTGATGGAGGTGGAGTAAGAGGGCTTATCCCAGGAACAATTCTTGGCTTCTTGGAGTCCGAACTTCAGGTATAGTATACGTTTCTATTTTCTATATTTTTATTTTTATTTATTTATTTATTTTCACGCGATGCTATCTAGCGTGTCAATTAAGTGGTTTCAAAAAAGAAAATACTGATTTTTTAATGGAGAATTTGATAATATTCCATGAACTAACTCTAGACGGCTTGGCAATTATGCAGAAGTTGGATGGCGAGGATGCAAGAATTGCAGACTATTTTGATGTGATTGCAGGAACAAGCACAGGTGGTCTTGTGACTGCCATGCTAACTGCACCCAATGAAAAAAACCGCCCCTTGTTTGCTGCTAAAGATATCAAAAACTTCTACCTTGATAATTGCCCTAAAATATTCCCGCAAGTCAGGTATCCATTAGGCAAAACCAATATTCGTTACCAGATAAATTTTACCATTGTTCACTTCCCACATGGATCCATGTAGGAGGTGAAAAAAGACTGCGAAATCATCTCATAATAATTAACTACATGCAATATATTGTTCAATTATGATGACAAAAACTACATAGTACGGTTATTAACATGTTTGAATTTTTTAAACAAGCAGTTCTCCATTTCCTAGGGTAATCAAAGCCTTATTTGGACCAAAGTACGATGGGAAGTATCTCCACAGCCTAGTTAAGGAAAAACTAGGAAATATAAAATTACACCAAGCACTGACTAATATAGCAATACCAACTTTCGACATTAAGAGACTCCAGCCAACCATCTTTTCCACCTATGAGGTTTGTATTCATCTCTTTGTAACTAAAAAGTCAATAGTGATTGTTCGGATTAAACTGAGAACTAATGATTTTATATGTACATTTTTCATGATTTTTTAGGTGATGAATAATCCAAGCTTGGATGCGTTACTTTCAGATATATGCATTGCAACCTCAGCAGCACCTACTTATCTTCCTGCCCATTATTTTGAAACCAAAAACCCAAATGGAAAAGTTAGAGAATTCAACCTAATTGATGGTGGTGTGGCTGCAAATAATCCGGTATCCACAAATAACTTTTCTAGTTACATATTCACCCAAAAAAAAACTTTTCTAGTTACACAAAAATGGATATCATAAATGTGCACAAAATATTAGGTTGCGGTTTCTCTCTGTTCTGTGTGAAAGTAGTTTTATCTATGAATTTCAGAAATAATGCCTTCGAACTCTCTTTTTTTTTTAAAAAAAATTTTAAGACCATCACTATTTATATTTTATAATTTTTATTTATTTATTTTTTTCTTTTATGTTTTAGGCTTTGATTGCTATCAGTGAGGTGACCAAGCAAATAATGTGGAGAAGTTCAGATTATTTTGCTATAAAGAAAATGGACTATGGTCGACTTCTGGTTATATCATTAGGAACTGGTTCACCCAAAGCTAACGAGAAATATAATGCAGATAAATCAGCTAAATGGGGTTTGTTGGGATGGTTAACCAGTGGTAGTTCCACACCCTTAGTAGATGTGTTTAGTCAAGCCAGTTCGGATATGGTTGACTACCACCTTAATGTGGTTTTTCAGGCCCTTCACTCCAAAAAGAATTATTTACGAATTCAGGTATATATGCCCGTTCATGCTCATCAACAACAAAAATGTTATGTACCCAAAAGAAAAAAAAAAGTTGTTCATTTTTTTGTCAACCAAATATTGACTAATGTCGATGATTGAACCAAACTGCAGGATGACACATTAACTGGGAAAGTTTCCTCTGTTGATATAGCTACGAAGAAAAATTTGGAAGATCTTGTGAAAGTTGGTGAAGGATTACTAAAGAAACCAATTTCAAGGGTAAATTTGGAGACAGGTGTAGTAGAGCCTGTTGGTCAAGAGACTAATGAAGAAGCTCTCCGAAGGTATATCAACTTATCTCTAGTACACAAATTGTATCATGCAATTTAGTTTTCTTTATTCTCTCAATAGAACTAAAAAAAATTATTATATGGCAGGTTTGCAAAACTACTTTCTGATGAGAAAAGACTTCGTAATGTCAGATCACCGCATGGACGCACTGCAAATACAAAGGATTTTAAACTAAGATTGTAGATTAATATATTATTTATTTTTATATTTTTTGTTACATGTGTTTTTGATGTAGGTGCAAACAAAGTACACCCATGCACCTTTCTATTTCTTTTGTTATTTTCCTTTTGAATAATGCTCAGCTGGTACAAAGTAAGCATTCTTTATTCTTTAATGAATCAGTTGTACCAAATTTCTCAAGCAATGCTAATTAAGTACTCAAAAAAAAAAAAAAAAACCGTACTCAAAAACAGGAGTGGAAGAAAGTGTATAGAAAATAAATGTGTTGACTAAATTTGTGACTTAAGCCACATTAAGGGATTGTTTGAGATATTTTAAATAAGTGTAATTTTTGACTTTTTGAACTAAAAAGTAGAGAGAAAAAAGATAGTTATTTGGGATAACTTTTTTGACTTTTTACGAAAAAAATATGTATTAAAATATTGTATAAAATAACAAAATTGCCATCTTACCCCTACTATATGTAAATACCTACTGACTTGGATTATACTGGAAGCCAGTCGATTGGCAGCAAACGTTATAGGAGCAGATTGCCTACAGTCCAAGATCGAACTAGCCGATGCTATTCGGCCTGTAGGGGTCCACCACGGGTTCCTTTTTAATAATCAGAACTGTTCAATGTGTAGAACTCGCCGATTACTATTTGTAAAAAATCACATTGATTGAATATCGATAGCTATCTGACCAGATTATTTTTTTTTTCAACCATTAATTTCTTCACCGTCCATTTTGTTATACAAAACTGATTTGATCATATAGCTATCGATATCCGATCAACATGATTTTTTACAAGCATTTAGTATTCAACGAGTTCTACATATTCAACGATTCAGATTATCAAAACAAGACCCATGATGGGCCCCCACGGGCCGAATAGCTATGTCCTGTGCAACTTTTTTGTGCATCGCCAGGTAAAATTTGTAGTATCAGTTGATAGTGTACCATCACTGCACACTGTCTTGTGTAACAGCACTGTCATGATTATATATATATATATATATATTTGTAAATAGTGATAATTTTTTGACTTTTTTAGTAATTTTTTGACCTTTTTGTCTTATTTAAGACATGTCAAATTAGGCCTAAAATTGAATTTATAACATACATTTAATTTTTGGGCGCTCACTTTTTTGGATTTGTAGATTTTCCAAAAGTTTTTAAGAAAGTTTGTGAGCTAGTTGATTAATTTGGTGATGGAAGAAACTTGAATCCATCCATGTTTATTGAGACTAGAAAGACGCTAGTAACAAAAACAAGGATAATAGGTTTGTTGATATTTTTTCATAATAATACAAGAAAATATATAAAAAATTAAATAGAAATGATAAAATAATTTTTTTTTATTAAAGAATGAAATACAGAATAAATTACACAACTAAAAATATAGAAATGAATTAGAGTACATTACTAATAGAACAAATTATTAACATGAATAAGTTAAAATTAGAACCCATCTTTGTAAATTAAATTTTGAAAAATTTAAGAATGAAGAAGTTCTTATATCATCTACATCACAGCCTCTTCAGATATCATCTACATCACAGCCTTCGGCATTTGTGTCTGTTCTAGATTCTCCATCACAGCTCTGTAAAGCTAGTGTTCCACTGACATGCTATCAGGGCATTAGTTGTGGCGGTTAGATAGTTTGTTATCAAGTTAGTTGTTAGTTTGTTAAGTTTGTTAAGAGTTAGTTTAGATATTTTGATTACCAGTATATAACAAGGTGTAAGCACAGTTTTCATTTAATCAAAATCAGTTTTCAAGATTCTCAATATGGTATCAGAGCTGTAAGCTCTCGTGAGCAAGATCCTTAGTCTTTCAATGGCAGATGCTTCGTTACCTCCAAATCTTAGTTTACTAATTTCAAATTTCAATTCTCTCATCACAGTGAAGCTTGAGTCAAACAATTTCATCATATGGAAATCACAGATGACAAATGTGCTTCGAGCATCTGGATTTCTTAATCATGTAAATGGATCTCATCCATGTCCATCTTTAGAAATCATTGATGATTCTGGAAAAACTGTTCCAAATCCGAGTTATGCAAAATGGCAATTGATCGATGCACATCTGCTCACCTGTCTGACTGTAACTTTATCTTCATCCATTTATTCCTCTGTTCTTCATCTGACTCAAAGTGATCAGGTATGGCAATTCTTAGAGAAGCAATTTACTTCAGTCTCACGTTCTCATATTCATCAACTCAAAACCAAACTTCAAACACTCTATAAGAAGTCATCTTCAATGGAGGCATACCTGTCTCAAATTAAAGATATAGCTGCTCAGCTAGCTTTGGCTTCTGCAAAGGTTGATGATGAAGATCTGGTATTTCTAACCTTGAATGGTTTACCAGAGGAATATGATGCCTTCAAAACCTCTATTCGCACTTGATCTGAACCTGTCAAAATGGACCAGTTGTGTTCATTATTATGTTCTGAATCCATTCACATTGAACAAAAACCTAAACAGTCTACTGGCACAGATCTTCATGTTGCTTACTCTGCCTCACGAGGATCTTCCTCTCAAACTGGCTATGATTCTTCACATGCTTTCAATCGAGGTTTTCACTTTACAAGGGGCAGAACTTCATATCGTGGTTCTAGAGGAGGTAGATATAATAACTTTAGAGGCAGATTTAATAATAGGTATAATAATAATAGATCCAGAGGCATTTTTTCTTCTACCTCTAGCTGTCAGATTTGTGAAGGTCTCAGTCATAATGCTTTTGACTGTTGGCATCGACTGGATCCTACTTTTCAACCTTTCACTAGTAGTGCCTCTTCTTAGTCTTCTCTGCCAAAAGCCGATACTGCTTCAGTACCACAGCCTTCTGCTGATCCTTTCATACCTCCTTGTAGGGCTGAGCAAGGAATCCGTGAAATCCGTAATCCGATCCAGTCCAGTCCAATCCGATAGGTTTGGATTGGTTTTTTGAATCCGTGGTTCGGTTCCGGATTGAAGAATTAAAAATCCGTAGTCCACGGATTGGTTCCGGATTGAACCCCACGGTTCCGGATTGGAACCGGTCCGGACCGTATACAAATAGTCTATATTTTTATTATACATCCTTACCCATAGTATCTTCGCTTATTCCATATAAAACCTAAACTCAAACCTAAACCCGTTTAATATCTTCTTTTATTACTTTTGTTTGTTAGTTTTTAGTTTTAACTTGTAATGGTCTAAATACTTATGGTGAAACTAATTTTCTTATGGTTGTTTAAATTCTATAACAGTATGTTGCTATTATAAAGACATATTACTATTGTGGAACTAATATAGTGCTATATTTATGTTTTTATGAAATAAAAGTGTTATATATATATTTTTTTATTATTTAATTATGTGAATCTGTGGTCCTAAACCGATCCAATCCGTATTTAAATGGATTGGTTCGGATTGGTTCCATGATTTAAACGGATTGGATTGGTTCTAATTTTTCAGGAACCGTAAATAACGGATTGGTCCTGGTTTTACACCAATCCGGTTCAATCCGGACCATGCTCACCCCTACCTCCTTGGTATGTTGACTCTGCTGCTACCAATCATCTGACAAATGACTTGGCTAATTTTCAACAATTTCAGCCTTATCAAGGTCAGGAGCAGGTTCAAATTGGTAATGGTTCTGCCTTGCAAATCAGTCATACTGGTAAAGGTATCTTGCCTACACCACATCATTCTTTTTAGCTCTCAAATCTTCTCCATGTTCCTGCCATTTCTTCAAATCTTTTATCTGTCCATCAACTTACCAAAGACCAAAATTGTTTGGTTATTTTTGATGCTAACACTTTTGTCATTCAGGACAAATGCATGAACAAGATTCTGCATAGAGATGTTAATATCAATGGTCTCTACCAGTTCATTCCATCATCTCAGCCATTCTCTTCTCCTCAAGTTTTTCAGTCTAGTACTATTGCTCCTGTGTCTACTAGCAGTCCAGCTCCTGTGTCTGAAATGCTTTGGCATCAAAGACTAGGCCATCCATCTTCTTTAAAGCTTCAACATATGGTTGGCTTCTTACCAGATCAAAATAAAATGTTTTTGAATAAGGCCTTGTCTTGTCTTGATTGTAATGTGTCTAAATCTCATAGACTTCCTTTTACTTTGTCTGATGCTTTTGTCAATTGTCCTTTTGCCTTAGTTTATAGTGATGTATGAGGGCCTTTTACAGTAGATAATGCCCCATTTCGGTTCTATGTTTTGTTTATAGATGATTACAGTAGATTTACCTGGGTGTATTCTTTGGCTTACAAGAGTGAGGTGTATGATAAATTGCTTGTATTCAAAGCCTATGTTGACACTCAATTTCAGAGTTCTCTTAAAATTCTTAGGACTGATTGTGGAACTGAATTTGTAAATAAAAAAGTTGATACTTTGTTGTCTTCTCATGGCATTGTTCATCAAAGTAGTCGTCCATATACTCAAGCTCAAAATGGCATAGCTGAACGTAAACACGGACATATTATTGAAACTGCTATCACCTTGCTTCATCACTCCTCAGTTCCAATCACTTTTTGGTTTGATGCTATTGCTACAGCTACATTTCTAATTAATAGAATGTATTCTAGCATTTTACATCACAAGACTCCTTTTGAAATGTTGTTTCATCTCATACCTGATTATTCTCTTTTTAAAGTGTTTGGTTGCCAATGCTTCCCTTGGTTAAAGCCTTATGCTCCTCACAAGCTAGCACCAAAATCTATCTCTTGTGTTTTTCTAGGCTATCATCCTACCATTAAAGGTTATAGATGTCTTGAGCCTATTTCTGGAAAAATCTACATTTCTAGGCATGTCATTTTTAATGAAACCTGTTTTCCTTTTTCTCAAAAGCATGCCTCTGTTTATTCTCCTTCATCTTCAGATTTGTCTACTCTTACTTCATTTTTCTGGCCTTCTTCTTTTAGCACTGCCTCTTTGAACACATCTGTGCCTTCAACTCCTTCTCTATTTGTTCCATCAACTCCTTCTTCTGAGCCTTCTTCTTCTTTTCCTGTTCCTACTCCTCCATCCAGTGCTCAGCCTATTCCTATCTCTTCTATTACTATTGATTTACCTCCTCATTCTCTTCCTTCTTTTTCTATTGGTAACACATATCCCATGATTACTAGGTCCAAACATAAACTTCCTCAGTGTTTTTCTACTACTGTTTCTCTTCTTGATACTGAGCCTACCACTATTCAA